TATAAACAAAACAAACCAGAGAAAAATTATTCATTGATGTATAACTTTAGAGAGTCCCCGTCCTACTCAATTCTGATTTTTCTTATCCATAAATCGATTCATTGATGTGTGACCGTAGAGTATCCCCTCCTCCTTTTTGCTTAGCTCTTATCTTTATTTTGTATGAATTGACTCTTCAATTCGTGGACTAAGCCGAGTACTTTTTCTTTTTTATTACAGAACAATTATCACATTGTATTAGTAGCTACTTTTACAGTAGGCCTTTCAATGTAACACAAAAATATTCTAGTAGTGAAAAAAAAGAAATATTTGCGTACATTTCGTATTTCGATGAATAATATTATAAACCAAGGTCATTTTAAGTTGTACCTTGTCCCTTCGATGATTTGTTTACTTTGAACAGAAAAATATATCGAATGAATAATAAATCATTATACTAAATATCGGAGTTGAAATATTATACGACAACACATGTTTGTTTTTTATTGCTGTTAATCACAAATTAAAACTTTTTTTTTTTAATGAATGTTTCACTTTTTTATACAATATGTTACTCGACGTCTGTATTTGTTCTATCGTACAAAAATGAATTCGCAAGATAATCAAGTTTTCTTTTTTTTTTGTTACTTCGTATTTAAATTAATTGTATAGAAAGTTTCTACTCGTATCTTTACATTTAATATTTTGGGATATTAATTTATAAAATATATATATGAATACAATATTTAGATTTTCAAAATAATAATAATAAAAAAATTATTTATTTTTGCAAAATCAAAATGAATTAATATATAAAGATAAATGAGTTCTGCATTTTTAAAACTAAAGATAATATAAAGAAAGATTTTTTTTTTTCTAATACGTAAATAGACAAATACCTTTTATAAGAATAGAATATGATAATAGATAGTCTTTCTTATTACCAATATTACTTAGATGTGTGATGTCATTGAAAAAAAATGAAAATGACCCATAGGAAAAAATGTATGCAAAACAAAATTTGTTGTATATCGTATAAGTATTTATTATTCTATTAATTTATATGATTCGTCTAGTAAAAATTAATAATTAGAGTCTCATTAAATATCGTTTTACTATTTATTTTTATCTTATTAATATAAAAATTTTATTTATATTTATTGCTTATTATAAAAAATAATAAAAATAATATTACATGTCTTTTTTTGATGTATTTTATCTGAAAATCAAATGATTATCTGATCTATTTTCTTCTAAACCTAATTGTTCTAGTTATTGTTTTAGATTAAAACTATGATGGACGTTTTGACATCACTTTGACCTAGATAATAAGAGAAGCTACGTTGATGTAAAACATTCACACAATATAGAGGCCTAAATTTATATCCATTTCTATCAATTTCAACGTAATTAGTCAAAATTTTGTATTACTTTACGCTACCGAGCCAATTCAGGTTCCTTGTAATTCTAAAAAATGGAAAAAAAAAACTATTTTCTCTCTCGCTTATAACAAATGTAATAACGTCGAAATTTTAGCATCTTATGTCTTGTAACTGGACAAATATTAGACTCAATTTTTATATCTCTATCCTTAATAATAACGGAGGTTGAGATTGTGAGAATTATTTTTTCTTCTGCCCTAAAAATAAAAAAAACAAGAACTGTCATTCACAAGTAATGTACGCATTGCTTAAATTTTAATTCAACAAATGCACTCACCTAATGATAAATAATATTATATTTATCCAGACAAACAAGACATTAAAAAAAAACACGTTTAAACGTGTAGAAATTCTGTAATAAAGTCGTTTAAAAGAAATATTATCGTTACAACGATTAATTTTTGCTGAAATTTACACGTTTTATTTTTGTTTGTCTCGCTATTGATTTTACGAGTTCAAACGTGTTCATAGGATTGAATATATTTTTATGGTACAGGGTATTCGAGTTATTTTCTTTCTTTTGATACTAGTTTACAGTGTTAAATGGCAGCTAACAGAAGCTCGCTTATTTAATAGTCTTTATACAGTATGTGAGTAGATATTGATATCTGAAATCTAAAGAAAAAATAAATAAAAAAAAGACTGCAAAAATCTTCTCTAAATAATTTCATAAATAAACAAAGGCATGAACAGCAATACAAACAAAAAGATTAAATCAATGATACAAGTGAATAACGCCCAATCAGCAAAATATTATATATATGTATTATATATACACAAATAAACCAAGAGTCTTCTCCCATAGAGAACGCTACTCCTCTAGCATGACTTGAGTAGTTCATCTATCCTAATGAAAACTTTAAAAAAGTACTTGCATGTAACATGACAATAGTAAACTAAACTTAATGAAAAATATTTATTATTGTATTGAAGAAAAAAAAGTATAAAATATTTTTGTTTATCTCATGTTATCATATGATTTTTAGCTAAAGTTTTATTTTGATATGAGAATTATGATAAAATTCGCCACTAGAACTAATTTTAGTAATTTGTTTGAAAACTTTTTCTGTATTCTTAAGTGTCAACATAATCAGAAAAAAAATTTATATAGTGTACCAGAAATATAGAAATTATTTACATAACCCGGCTGAATAAGGAGCATAATATATTTTTTATTCAAACTTTTAATTTTTGTAGTTACAAAAAAAAGCAAAGTTTCCTAATTGAAGCTCATGTTCACAAAGAAATTTAACTTTTTCTGAAATCAACTACCATTTTACGTAGAAGTAACACCAATATAAAATTAGCAGAACAAAAACACAGGGAAAAGTTTGACGAAAATTGACCTCCATGCTATTATTCCGCTTATTATTAGATATTAACTGAGTATTTTTCAATTAATCATACAGCAATTGATAGAGAAATGTTTGATCTATGTTTTATATTGAGAATTTGAGTTATCAACAGTTTAATAAAGAAGTATTTGTTGTCCAGCAAAATTAGCTTTTCTGATACCATATATAATACATTTGTCTCATGTGGTACGATAAGTCCTTTAGACAACAGAGAAGTTCTCTAGAAGAAAGAAATATCCACTAAGGGATTACTCGAATTTGGCTTATTTTATAAAAACTGATATATGTGACATTGCATAAGGTTTGTGAAACCTCAACATTTTTTTGAAACTTTGACGCTATTAGATAAAATTTATCGTTGAGATTAGCTTTTGTTCTGTCTAAATTGCATTTTTCTTTATCAATCCAATACGAGGAGAGAATAGAAAAAATACGATATTTGATGGCGTCAAAGAAAGAAAACACTCTCGACATGATGATTGTCACTAAATAAGGTGGGATATCTCCCTTAATTGTGATTGCACATGATCATCTAAGAAAAAAAAAAACAATATTGTTTACGAATATAAAAGCTTCATCATGTTATTAACCCATTCACCACGACGGGTCCCACCGGTGGGACCACCATATTTTAACAAAAAAATGACTTGAAAAACACTTCTTTTCCTTTTTCCTCAAGCAGAAGGTTTAGTGTAATATATCATCTGCTGCTCTCCGCTATTGTTTGAATTATTTATTACATAGAATAGTGTTTCTCATTGAAACAACCAAGACAATCAAATTTGTCACAATCAGAACAGATGGTTTTTATTTTCTTTGCTGCCGCATGACTCGCTTCTCTTGATTATCGTTGCCTGATTCTTTTCGTAGCAGCTGAGCATAACGTCTTCAGACATTCCGAGGAGATTCTTCTTTCTCTTCGTGCGGGTGATTAGTGAGTTTGCGCTTCGTTTAGTCTGTTGAGTTTTGCCTCGGATTCAATTTCAGCTTCTCGAATGGCATGCCAAACAGTAAAGATTGGAGAAGACTTTCACGAAACTGCAGAATGAAGGCACAGGTTGCACTAGATTACAACAAAAGGAAATAGAGTAGTGATTTATCTGACTAACTATTGACATAATATACATGCCTCAGGCGGTCAAGAAAATGATACTGAAAGATGGCCTTTAAATTAATTTTTGGGACGGCAATACTTAATAGCTATTTAATATACAAGGAAAACTACGCTGCAAGTGAAGTGACCATTCTCCAGTTTCGTGAAAGTCTTCTCCAATCTTTACTGTTTGGCATGCCATTCGAGAAGCTGAAATTGAATCTGAGGCAAAACTCAACAGACCAAACGAAGCGCAAACTCACTAATCACTCGCTCGAAGAGAAAGAAGAATCTCCTCGGAATGTCTGAAGACGTTATGCTCGGCTGCTAAGAAAAGAATCAGGCAACGATAATCAAGAGAAGCGAGTCATGCGGCAGCAAAGAAAATAAAAACCGTCTGTTCTGATTGTGACAAATTTGATTGTCTTGGTTGTTTCAATGAGAGGGTGTGGGTGTGATTAGATATAAGATACACCCACACCCAAATCGAA